CATTTGCTCTAGGTCATTGAAGAATGCTGTTCTTATTTTGATAGGGATTGCACTGAATCTGTAGATTGCTTTAGGCACGATGGCCATTTTGACAATATTAATTCTTTCTATCCATGAGCACAGGATGTGTTTCCATTTATTTGTATCTTCTTTAACTTCTCTTATGAGTGTCTTGTAGTTTTCAGAGCATAGGTCTTTCACTCCCTTGGTTAGGTTTATTCCTAGGTATTTTATTCTTTTTGATGCAGTGTGAATGGAATATTTTTCCTGATATCTCTTTCTGCTAGTTCATCATTAGTGTATAGGAATGCAACAGATTTCTGTGTATTAATTTTGTATCCTGCAACTTTGCTGAATTCAGATATTAGATCTAGTAGTTTTGGAATGGATTCTTTAGGGTTTTTTATGTACAATATCATGTCATCTGCAAACAGGACAGTTTAACTTCCTCTTTACCAATCTGGATGCCTTTTATTTCTTTGTGTTGTCTGACTGCTATGGTGAGGACCTCCAGAACTATGCTGAATAAAAGTGGAGTGAGTGGGCATCCTTGTCTTGTTCCTAATCTTAAAGAAAAGGCTTTTAACTTCTCACTGTTAAGTATGATGTTGGCTGTGGGTTTGTCATATATGGTCTTTATTTACATGCAGATTTTTTTCAATAAATATATTGGAAAAAGTTTTGGAGATTTGCAATAATTAAAAAACTTTTTTGATGGGTTTGACTTTACTTTATTGCAAGAATATAGTATATAATACATATAACATACAAAATATGTGCTAAGTGTAAGCAGTATCAGACTAGCTTTCTTACTTTAAAAAATAGATAACTGTTCTATATTCAAAATATATGAAATTTTGAGTATTCATATATTCAAACTATAGGAAACAAATATAGACTATGACCCTAAGAGAAAAGATAAAAGTAAGGTAAGCCCAACAATTGCTTTTGCTTTCTGACTGGAGACATATTCCAGAATAGAGAGCCAGGGGGCAGGTTCCTTAGCAGAGCTCTTGCTGAGTTGAGAAGATAGAGCTTTGAGGCTTGGGAGTCTGGAATAGCTGGAATATGCAAGTTCAAGGACCTGAGAGCAGGGTGCTATGATGAGAAAGAATTCCAGAAATCTGGAAAAGGGTCTCCTTGTATAGGATGAGACCACACGAAGCTTGGTAAAGAACAACCACGAAGGAATGATCAATTATCAGGGAACAATCAGTTGAACGGCTACCAGAGGTTACTCAGAACTGGGAGACATTCCAATTTCATCCAGAGAAGTAAAAAAGATCTCATTAAACACTTAGAGAATTCCATAGAGACACACAAAGTTCATGTCTTAATAGTGGGGTTAAAATCAACCTAAAGAGTCCAAAACCACCACCACAAAGCTTAAAAACAAGCCCTGAAGGACCAAGCTGATACAGAAGTAAATTAACTGCCTGCCAGAATAAAGCCCAGTGCTGTTTAAACAATGCCAACAAAATATAGACACTCAACAAGTAGCACTAAATGTCTCAATCCAGTCAAGAATTACTAGACATATGAAAAAGCAGAAAAAAATGTGGCCCTCTAGCTAGGAATAAAACGAGGCATTAAAAACATTTCTACAAATGGCATATATATTGAAATCAGCAAAAAAAAAAAAAAAAGCTTTACAAAAAAGAAATATATTCAAGAATTTAAAGGAAACCATGAGCGCAAAAGGAAACTTCACGTTCTTTGTGGACATAAGTCTAGAAAAGACAAATCTCATCTGTAGCAACAAAAGACAGATCAGCAGTTGCCTACCTAGTGGTGTTGATGGAAGATTGACTGGAATGGGCTTCAAGGATTTTTTTTTTGAGTGATGTAACATTCTATAATGTGAAGTGGTGGTTATATTCAAAACTCATCAAAATGTACACATAAAATGTAAATTGCATCTCAAGAAAAGTTCATATAAAATGTTCAAAATATAAATAAAAACAAATGGAGGAAAGTGGATAAGGGTGCGAATGGGCCTAGATCGGTCATAAGTTGGTGATTTGGGGTCTGGATGATGGCTACATGGTGATTTGCTGTATTATTCAAAATTCCCTATAATTAAAAAATAAGTTCTTTTTTTCTTCTTTTAAAGAGGAAGAATATGTTACTGTCTGAGGGAATATAATATTGCAGATGTGGTTCTTTTAGCCTCTCCAAAAGCCTTTACTCTCTTTCTGAAATTGATTCATTTTTCTCTTACATACCCAGTCTTCACCTCATTCTCACTACCTCCTCAAGGACACCCACTCTAAGCAGTCCACATCCTCAGATATTTATGTATCTTTGCAAGATAGTATTACCTCTGCTATATTATGTATGTAACATATATGTGTGTGTGTATATATATATATATACACATTGTAAAGCTTTTTTAAAAAATTTCTTGTACATGTCTTATGCATGTGTGTACTGGTTTTCCTGTGGAATTTAGCCAGTAGTGGGACTGCTGAATCTTAGGCTATACACATACCTCATTTCCATAAGGACCTCATGCACAAAACCTTGGGACGGCTTCCCATCCTATTCAGAAATCCAAAGTCTTCAAATACATAAAATGCCCTTGTTTTCTGCTCCCATTTATCTCTTTTAGCTCATCTCCTCTTATTTTCTCCTTAAATTCCTCAGGTCTAGCCACACCAACAACCTTTTCTGTTCTTTGAGCATCTTAGGCGTCATTGCTCTAATTCCAGTGGTCACTCTGCCCGGGTCTCTCTTCTCCAGGTTTCTCCGTCACAGATCTTTGCTCAAACGTCTTCTTCTCCATGAAATCTTCCTGAGCTGCCAAATAAAAATTATAGTTGCTCCTTTTCCCTCAAGCCATGCTCTACCCTCTTGTACTGTCTTTCTTTTCTCCAAACTGTTTGTCACCACCTGACAATCCTTATTTTTACTTTTTAATTGTGTTTGTTGTCTTTTCTCCCTGGGAGACAATAGACTTGATGAAGGCAAATATTTTTATATGCTTTTTTCACTCACTGCATATTTCCCCAGCATCTCAAGGAGTTTCTGGCCCATTGTTTGCGCTCAAATATTTATGGATTGAAATACTGCCAGATTCATCTCTAGAATGACTGTATCAGTCTTTATTACTATGAGGATTGTGGAGATTCTCATTCCCTCATTCCAGTCAAATATTAGGTATTGAATTACTTTCTAATTTTTACCACTCTGATGGCTATAAACTATTATTGCATTGCTAGTTTGATTTTATTTTTTCTAATTACTAGGGAGGGTGAGGATTTCCATATATATTTGTTAGTTAGTTGAATTTTTTCCCTCTGTGAATTTCAAACTCATTACCTTTCCCATTTTTTGTCGAGTTTCCCATTTGTATTGTTGATGAGCAAAGTTCTTTGACTATTCTAGACATTAACTTCATCATTTCATTTTTGGCATTGAAATATCTTTCCCAGCCTATTACCCATCTGATCCTAGGTGTCGTTCTGTTAATTTTGTTTATAGTGTCCTTGATGGAATAATAATAATTAACTTTGAGGTAGAGTCATCATTTTTTGTTTTATAACTTTTTTCTTTTTAAATCAACTTTATTGAGGTATTTTACAAACAGTAAAATGTGCCTTTACAGTACGCAACTCAATGGCTTTCAACAAATAAATCACCCATGTAACTGCAAACAGTCAAGGCACAGTACATTATGAACTCCACCTTCTGTGACCTGTCTTTTCATACCCTTCTCAAGGTCTTTCATATGACCAATAATAATGACCACTAACTGTCTGGCATTGGGTACCCAAACCAGAAACACCCTAAATGAAGTTAGTTCCAGTTTCCCTTATTTGATTTTCCTTAACAAACTTTCTTACTGAAATATAAAACTTATACAGAAAAAACGTACACATAAATTTGTAATTGATGACTTTTCACAGGATGAATGCACCCATATAGCCATTGTCCAGATCAAGAAATCTAACATTACTTGTACCCAGAATCTCCCCACTAAGCTTTCTCTGAATCACTAGTGTCCTGGTGAAAGATTATTCTCACCATAGAGATGAGAAAATTCTAGCTTAGAAAGGCAAAGAGATTTGCTTAAGCACACCTAACAGGTGAGAGAGCTGTCATTCAAATCCAAGTCTCCTAAATTCTAGAGTTTTTTCACTTCAGCGATCTATCTCTTAATATTAGCTGTATTTTCACACGTCATAAGACTTCTTCCCAAAGTTAGTGCCCATTTTTCATTTCTTTGATGATATATCTTTTAGGGGCTGGCAAATGGAATCAGGTAAGTGGTTATTTGGTGTCTTTGCTATACAGAGAAACTTCCTAAATTAATATCGTTCATTCATTCATTCTCATAAGCTGTGAGCGTGATAAAGAACTAAACATAGTCTCTATTCCCCAGACAAATAATTGTGAAAACCACCGACTTTCATATAAAGTGGAATGATATGAATATTAAATTAAAAAATGGAATCACACCGCTTCTGGTTTATCTGCCACATGGCCAACAAAGTAATGTTTTGAAAATGCTAATCTAATCGTAGGCTCCACAAAACCTTTACTCTTTTCCCATCACATATTGCCTACAGGATAAATTGCACATTCCTTTGTCTGGCATCTGACTCCCACAGAGCTACACAGGCACAGCCCCTTATCCTACCATCCCTCACCCCCAGGAGCACTAAAACAAGATTACCTGGATTTGCATACCCTCTCTCTCCCTCACTGAATGTCTGCCCTGGAGCAAATGATTTACCACTCCCAATTTCAGGGTCCATATTTATAAACTAGAGATAAACTTTCTTCACAGAGGCTATGAGGTAATAAGAAGAAAGAATGTCCACAGTGTACTTTGCACAGTGCTTGGCATAGAGTGAGTATTTTGTGAGCGGTAATGACGTTAGATATCATATCACACGGAGCTGCCTGGAATTCTCCAAACACGGTGTGACCCAACTATTTCTTCTGTTCGGGATGTTCTTCTCAGCCTCTGCTTCTCATCCTTTTCTGTTCGGTTAATTTTCACCAAAACAAAAACAAAAACAGAAAAACCTCGTGGGTTTTGGTGTCCCCAGTGAGGTGATTGAGTGAAGATGCTTCATAGTTGAGGGACAGAGGAGAGTTTGATGAGACCTGGAGCACAGAGCTGGCGTGCACGATGCTCCTCCTGGGGATTCTCTGTGAGCTCTTCAAAATACCAGAGAATGGAATTAAAAAAGAAAAAAAATAAGGTAGGTGTGGATGTCCACCCACATCTGGAAAGAAAAGGCATAGGGCTCTCCAGTGCAAGGAATTAAGCTGGTATTTGTATGTGTATTATGGTGACTGGCTTTACCTTCTCATTTTGCATAATCTCCTTTTCAGTGGCAAAGAGTGTAATTTCCCTTCAGTTCATAGAATAGTACTTGGAGAGGACAGAGAGGAAGTCTCTGCATTTCATGAAAGAGAAAATTACCGGCACCCCTTTTGTTCTCTTAGGCAGGATTTGGATGGATTACTCATACTTAAAAAGGAAGGCGGCTTTTAACCTTAAAAAAAAAGGAAGAAAGGAAAGAAAAGAAAAAAGAAAAAGAAAACTCCTTGCATTAACACAGTGCATTGACATGTTACTAAATCTAAGGAATTTTGAAGGATAAATTCCCAGACTTGATCCAAAACATGAAACAAATTCTTCAAACACAAGCTGCCAAGCTCATCAACTTGTTCAGATCTCTGTACCTTTGGTCTCACCAAACTGCTCGCTTAGCTTCTTGATTGGCTGTTTAACCCTTCCAGGCTGACTGGGGTGGCGGGCAGGGGAGAGCCAGGAGGGGACTGTGCAACCATCTCAGAGCATTGGCCCTCTTGGAAGACCAGACTTCTGGAATCGATTTGGGTCCAGAATTGCATTACCCGTGGAATGTGGAGTATGCACGGTCCTTGACGGCTTGTGAACCACACTTCCTGGAGCTGGCCACCAGCCAGAGCTGAGACCATCAGCATCTTACAAATGAATTCTTTATGAGACAAAGCACAAATCACGGCCATGGAAAGCTTGTCTGTAAGTAAACCTAAAACTCGGTCGACATTTACCCTCCCTTGTATTTCTAGTATATGGGGGGATCAAATATCACCCCCAAATATGTTTTCCTTTCTACTAGCAGGCATTGTAAGGTGTCAAACAGCCTGGGATTTCATCTTGCTGAAACTTAACTGCTCTCCTCGGAACTTTGATTCTCTGTGCAAAATACTGGCCACCAACTGCTCAGAAGACAGGATACGTAAAAGTAAAGGTGGCAATAAAACTGAAGAGGGGGGCTGATTCTGTGTCCCCCAGGACTTGAGGTCTAGTGGGCATGATGAGACGAATATCTGGGAGGGATGTTTAAAAATCCAAATAAAGGAATAGTCTGCAGGGGTATTTATAGGAAAGGGTGAGTTGTTGAGACCCAATGAGAAATGAGAACATTCAAGCTGGTGAGAAAAGATGAGGATGTAGGCTCAGAGGCAGGAGTCAGCAAAAAATCTGTGGGTGGGCGTCGCTGGAGTGGAGGGATCCTCGCCTGAGAGAGAGTATGGTGCAGTAAGCATGCAGGGGGCAGTTGGGGGTGAAGGGCAGAAAGAGAGCCATGTGGGGCTTAATTTTGCTTTATTTTTGAAAGTACTGTCAATTATGATGATCTTATGGTTATTTAGTTACTCTCCTCTTAGGCAAGGCATCTTTTCACCTGATATCTTTCTGATGATCTTACTTCTTTTCTCTCTCTTATTTGGATCATTTCCTTTCAAAGCCAGTTTTATGTCCTGAAAATGTGCCATTGGCCCATTAAAATCACTCCTGGCTCTCTAATTCTACAATACTATGTAAGTAGCTCTCCTTTATCCAGGGAAGGAAGGATGCCTTTTGTATCAGGTGTTGTGTGCATGGGTGAGTCTTCTGTCCCAATAATTGAGCAGTTGATTATCTAGTACTCTGCAGGCAAATCTGACAGTTTTATTCCTCCCACACATACCACCAAATCTCAGCACTTAGGTGGTAATAGTCATGATGCCTTATCATCAATGAAAATTTTTGCATACAGTCTCTACTGAATTCTCCTTTCTACTTATAAAGAGGTCTAAGAAAAATCTACCTGAAACATAAAATCTCTTATAATCCTTAGTGTCATAATGATACACCTATTTAGCCAATTCTTCATCCTATCAATAATAAAAAGTAACTTGCTCCAAGTATATTGAGATTCTAATGAGGTCAGCATTTCCAAGTAAACCCATCATATTGATCCCAATGAACTGAATTATACCAATTACATGGGAATCTAGAGCCAGCCTGAAGGAATCATTCCAAATTAAATGACTATTTTATAAGGTTTTTTTTTTTAAAAAAAATCTGCTTTCTAAAATAACATAAGGACTGTTACTTTTTATCCTGTTTTCTAAATAGACTTTAATTGATAAAAATTAAGTTACCTTGAGTTTAAGTTCTTTTGAGGATATGGAAAATGTCTAGCATAGTCCTTTGGTGAACAAATTAGGGAATGAGTGAATGAATGACTTCTTAAAAGAAGCTCTTTTTCATTAGTCAGGGATGGGCTGAACAATAAAAAATCGTTGGAAATGGTCATAAGCAAAACTGGTTATATCATTTCACTGTCCCTTAGCGTAGTTTTGACAAGGGTGTTGTAGAAAAATCATCGGTCTACTTGGTCAAAAGTCAAGGTGATTGTAACTGTGTCATCATGGAATACTGCAAATTGACTCAGCTAACTTTCTACTGGGCAGCACACTCCAGGGCTTTGACAACCCTAACATTTTACTCTATGTCTCCCCAGCAGGGAAGTCCCCTCAATGAATCTGATCTAGTCCATGCGTTTAGAAGGAAGACGCAAAAGCCCAAGGAAGTACTACAATTTGCCCAGTGTCACACATACGTGGCAGAGCTTTGAAAGCTCTCTTCCTTCTAACCCAGCTAATGTTCCTTTTACTGCACCATGATTCCGTGCTACAAGCTCATGGGAGGGAAGAAGAACATGGTGTGGGGGCTGGGCTGGGGTGGGTGTGGCGGGGGAGCGGTGGGTCAGGATGATGGACCCACAAGGGTCACCTAAGAAAGACTGAGCTGGCTCTAAGTATTTAAAAGCAATGGAATAGTTACTGAAGAATGTTAAACCACAGTACAAAGAGCCACAAGACCCCTCTCCAGGTGGAGTAAACTGCAGGCAAAGCTTTGTTGGGAAAAGCATGGAGAGGGATCATTGCTGAAATCTGGTCAGTAACCTTGACTGGGGCAGGGATCAGCCCCAATGCAGCAATGTCAGAGGAATTTGAGTTTCTTCTGTCCGTGGCCAGGAGAAGGATAAAGCAGCTTGTGAGATCTTCATGGCACACATTACCAAGTGAGACACCATCATTTCTAGTGATGCCAAAGCAAAAATAAAACAAAGGACCGCAAAGAAATGACAGGGTGTTCCGATCCAAGAAGAACAAAAGGGCAGAGAATTGCCAGAAGATGTTTCCAAAGAGAAAAAAAAAATCTTCACCCTAATGTCAAGGATAGAAAATCATGAAGAAGAGAAAAGAGATAAACTGACGAGTTCCCGTGGTAGATCAAGGCAAGGCAGCAAAGAGTGCGCTGCGTAGAAGAGGATTAAACAATTTTCATAGCATGAAAAAATGGGGCTGAAGTGGAATGTGAGGGGAAGTGTTTAAATCTCAGGCCAGGGTTTGGGAGATGGAATGTCTGAATATCCCATGCGGAGGAAGCAGCCTTCCCAGCAGCGGGGTCAGCAGAAGCGCTGCACAGGGGCTGCTCACCATGGTCGCCTCACCCAAACTCCTAGACAGAAATATTAAAATTTACATAGTACTTGTAGGCGTAACAGCAGAACATAATAACCCAAGGAGAGAAGCAAGGCTTCTTCAGAAGGTGAAGTGAACTAAATCAGGTGGATGGGCCCTTTGGCTTCAACCACACCATGACAGAATTGGCGAGGGTCAAAAAATTACAGTCATTTTGGATCCAGAGCTGACCAGTTTGGCTGAAATGGCTCAGGAACAGTTTGGTTACCATGTGGGTAGACACAGCTTTGGTTAATTATCTAGATGTTTGGGTTACATCAGATCAAATATTTGGAGAATTACAGAAATCAAAATAATTGACGAGATTCTTTGAGTTTCTGCCCACTTTGGCATCATCTCCCTTACAGTCATCATCTCAGAGAGGAAAGAAGTATGAAAAATGTAAATATATAGTAAAAAAGCAAAATTGTGTTTCTCTTTTTTTCTTTAACTTTATGTTATACCATGAACCAAAGTTATGGCGATCTGTGCACAGGTTAAAGGAAGCGTTATAGTGAAGCACTTTGCGAGAAACTTCCTTAAAATTACCTTAGTACAATCTCATCCATCAGTTTTATCAGAAACAGGCATCTTGAGGAAAATGAACCTATACATGCTCTAGAAGGGATGATTCCTGCTTTATTCTTGGTCTATCAAATAGTCTTCAAAATCACAGTGCTTTCACTGTGTGCAAAGGCATATTGCTTAGTTTCTGTGAATTTCTGTGAACTGTAAAAACCAGATGAAAATATAAATTCATAAGATTATCATGACCGTTAACTGAGACCACATACATCAAGCATAGAACACAGTGCCTGGGACACAGGGGGCATTCACTAAACGCTAGCTGTGACATAAACAAGGTTGTGTGGAAGTGAGAAAGGGAATGAGACACCCAGATGGGTTGTTTTTACTGCATGACTTGTTTTTAACTTTGGAGTCTTATGCAGGAGGCATTTCCACCTCATAGAGCCCTGAGCTATATGCCCTCTAAGGACCACTCCAATTCTAAAGTTCCAAGCGTTGATGATTTCATCATTAAATAACTGAAGTCATCACTCAGCTTTCCTGTCAGTTGTCCCATTATCATGAATTTGTTAAAAGAGGGCACCTAACCAGTGCTGAGCCAAGGAGAGAGCCGTTGCAGGCATGCCAGTGACGCAGAAGCAAATGCATAAATCAAGGGGTGCTAAGTCATCATCTCCTACAAGCACACAAAATAATGACTCTGTGCTTGGCATTTTGCACGCATTGTCTACTTAAATCTCATAACCCTGAGGCAGGTGCACTGATTACCCCCATTTCACAGAAAAGGAAACTTACGTTTGAAGACAATTAAAATTTTACCTGAGATTATACGTGGCTAGGCACTGGCATAAACCGAGGCTAGCAAACCCGTGTTTAGCCACCCCATTGCCTTCCTGTCATGCTTTCTCCTCCTTTTAAGAGATTTTTTTAAAATCTATGTGACATTATAAACTGTCTTTGTGAAGTGGAAACTCAGCAAGTACCATGAATGAAGTAATGGACTGGAAAACTAGATTCTGATCATAACTTGGGCACTAAGTAGTGGGTAAATCATTTAAAATCTATCTGTTCCACTGCTTTAAAATATAGCTATAGTGTTTTACCTCTAAAATCCATTTCATCCCCACAAATTGACTCAGGCTAAGAGTTGGTTTCCTGGATTAAAAGCATGCATTTTCCTGAGTATCATGAAATGTCTAGAGGACAACGCTTTAGTATTGACCCAGGAAGACCAGTAAAACAGAGGATTATCTCATTTAAATCTCCCAAGACCTGGCATGTTCTTTTCCCCGTGACACCTTTGTTTCTGAGATTTCATCCACTGTTTTGGACCTGTCACATCTCTTCCCCTGGGTCTTCATCATCTCTAACCAGTCTCTCTTTGTAACCAGGTACAGTTAAAGGATCAAATTCCATAACAAAATTCACATGCTTTGTCTCTCCAGGTTGAGGACCCCTTTGAGACCCAAGATATGAACTGCTGACTACCCTACCTAGGCATGCTAGTCCTTAGCATTCCTAAGAAACCATAGAACAATATTATTAATGATGAGAAAATAAACTCATTTCCAAAGTTGATCACAGCAGGAGGAAGAAGGGAGGCATTTCTCCTAATCAACATTATTGATGCTTTCCTCCCATAAAGATATTCTTTTTTTTCTTTTTTCTTTTTTTTTTTTTTGTCCCTCAGTAAGTGTTTACTTCCAACCCTTAGGAATAGAGCAGAGGTGTACAAAGTGACATCAGCCTAGAGGCATTACTTTTATTCTCTCCAATACCACCGGATACTTTCTTGGCTGATAAAACTCCCAGCTTTCAAATTCCCCCAGTGGAAAATTCTCTGAATCCAACTTCTAAATACACATTAATGTGGACAAGCTGGAATGCCCGGCTTTATTACTAGGCTAAAACTGATGAACAGGCCCACCCCACATGTTGTTGATGAAGAAAAGCCAATACTCATTCTTGCTACAAGGCAATTTTCTGACTCTGGTGACTGCACAGAAGGTCAAAAGATACTACTTTTTCCCCTAAATATTGATAACACCAAATGAGTACCCCAAGAGGTGGTCAAAGAAGAAAAAGAAAATACAGATATCACTGACACTACATAGAATAAATTTTAGAGCTAATTTTGCAACCATTGCTATCTTAAAAGGAGTTTACTCACTCTTTCTTTTAGCTCTTACTGATCACTTACTTTGTGTTGTGTGATATCAAGACAAGTGAATGCTACTCTCGCCTCATGGAATCCACAGTGTGCTGAAGGAGATGGTGAGGTGATCAGAATATTCTAATTTAGAGTTGGGCGCTTTCCTCACCACAACCCAACACTCTCTCGAAGAGTTGGACAAATTCTAACTTCAGGAATCAGCTCACACCAGCTCTTTGAACAGTTGGAGCAGCAACTGGAAACCACAAGATTAGAGGTGAAACTGTGTTCAGACATTTCTGTAACAGCTACTCAAGCCATCATAGGCCCACAGAAGAAGACAGGAGCTGTGCTGGAAAAATCTGCTGCCAAAGCTTCTTGCCGCCTCCATCTGTGTCATCAGCATTAACATCACACCTCCTCAGCCTCTCAGGGCAGAGCCCAGCTCCGACATTTTCACACTGAGAGCCAGTCAGATGCAGAAACTGTTTGTGTCGCTGACATGTCATCCTCTTTTAGCCCTCTTACGTCAGTCCGTCGGCTGTGTCTTTCCTCCAGCACCCCTCAGCGTGGATCACAAGGCTTGAAAAACAAGCCTGGAAGTGACCCCCCCATTTGGGAGTCCGTCCACAGGAGATGAGTAAGCTGTGGGGAAACACCAAGTGTTTTCAGTGTCCTCAGCCCTTCCTCTCCGGCCTTCATGTGCCTCGTCTTGCCAGCTCATGCATTTGAATCGGCCACACCTTTTACCCTGCTGAAGAGAAGCCTAGAAAAGCTGGCTTTGTGGCTCTTCTCAAGGACACATCAGCCTTCTCCAATCCACTAGCCCTTCAGTCAAGAAAACACTGCTTCACTCCCTTGTGTCGCATCAGAAGCTTCCCCTACAGTTTCCTCCTCAAGACCTCAGGTCTATGAAAGGCTGCTCCAGACGCTCGTGAAAGTTTGAATGCCAGTTTAGAAGACCCAATCCACAAAAATCTCTTCAGAAGACACCAAAGAGAAGACGTCTCCCAACTTCAAAGCACACAAAGTGTCATCCCTCTTCAAGTTAAAATGCTTTCATACTTTACCTTACATGCAATTTCTATTACTATTACTAAAAGAGTTAGCTTTACGTCTATTTTGAATGCTACTTCCTTTTAAATCTCTGAACATAAAGGTAAAAATCATCAATAATCCTATCCTTCAAAGATAATCAACAATTGCTAAAATTCTGTTTTCTTCCAATTGGCAGCCTGAAACTCATACTGAAGACAAAGAGGAATCAAATGCCCCCCTGAATCTGATTTTTTGCCGACTCTAGCTGATTACAGTCCCAGATGATGAAGATTTTCATCAGATACGACAAACTTTAAACTACGGTTGAAGGTAATAGATGGAGGAAAATAAAAGCATTTTTAGTTATGTATGACCAAATACTTTAAGTGAGACAAAAACGCTCCTGATTACATATAAAATAAATGAGCTTTGAAATTGAGAAGTATAAGTCCTCCAACTTTGTTCTTACTTTTAAAGATTGTTCTGTCTATACTGGGTCTTCAAAAATTATTGACGTAATGAATTATACAATGAATGTTCTGACAATCAATCACTATTATTGAAACTTGATTACAAACTTCTATATATGATAAAGTATTAGAAGTCAATCTAAAAGGCAAATAAAGCATTCAAGTATTTGAAAATAATATGAGAGCCAATGGATCTATATGCTGAATTTATAAAATATTGAAATAAGTTAATAGGAACATGATAAACATATAAATTTAGAAATAGCATAGGACATAGATACTTGGAGAGAAATTGCAGTAGCTAATAAGCTTAGACAAAATGTTCAAATTCAGGATAATGAAGACTAGAATTAAAACAACAAAATACCCATTTTTTCCACCTTTCAGTGAGTAAGTACATATACTTTTCAGTGATAATAACCAATGTTGGTAAGGATTAGTTAAACAGAAACAGACCTTGTTGCTGGAAAGTGAAAATTGGAGCCACTTCATTGGAGAGTCACTTGGCAATACTTGTTGAGGGCTGTGTATGCTCACACTCTTTGATCAAGTAATCTTACTTCAAGGTATTTTATTGAAAAAATTATCAGAGATTTTCACAGAGATTTATATGCAAACAAATATAACACAGTGTTAGTTATCATGAAAAATTTGAAAATATAAAACTAAAGGTAAATAATCAAGTAACTGTGGTCTACCATATAAGCTGCCTTGGGCGCACTAAAAATAAAGAACTTGAAGCATTTTATAAGACCAAAGGCTCCTCAATTTACATGAATCAGTTGCAAAAATTCTTAAAATATTAGGAAATCAAATATAGCAGTATATTAAAAAAGGATAGCACATCACAATTAAGAGAAATTTATCTTAGAAATACAAGGCTGGCTCAAAATTCAAGTATAAATCAATGCAATGCACTATGTCAACAGATTAAAGGAAAAAAGATGATAATTTCAATATATGGAGAAAAGACATTAATGAAATGCAATATTCTTTCATGATACAAATTCTCAACAAACTAAAAATAGAAGGAAACTTCTTTAGCCTGAAGAAGACCATCCACCACAAAACCCTGCAGTTAACATTATCCTTCGAGGTGAAAGGCTGAATGCTTTCCTCCTAAGTCTGGGATAAGACAAGGATGTCTTCTCTCATTACTATTCAACATTATAGTGAAGGTGCCAGTTGCAATAAGGCAAGAAAAATTTAAAAAGGTATATATATTAGAAGGAAGAAATAAAACTGCCTCTATTCACAGATGATAACCAACTCTCCCCCCACCCACAAAAAAACCCTGATAAACTAAACATGTGACTTTAGTAAGGTTGCAGGTTAATATAAAAAAATCTATTTTATTTCCACATACAGTAATGGATAACTAGAAATAGATCTCTATGGTTTTACTGTAAAGGAATATCACAATTGAGCCCTTAAAGACCAACTTGCCCAATACTCTAGTATTATAAGTAAGGAAGCTGAAACAAGGAGCTGACGCAACTTGCTGAAAGTCATGCAGCCTCAACGTTTGTGGCTTGACAGAAGATGAAGTCACCTGACTGCCTGTCCAATGACTTTTCTGAAAACAATGCCTTATATATTTATGAAAAAGTATTTTGACCTGCCTAGGATACCTTGAAGCCTAGATCATATTCTTTGTCATCTTGGAGCACTTGTATACAATAGAAAAGCAATAAAAGTGTACTAAATTAAGTTCAAAGAAAGGTAAAATGCATGGTTCGGTGTTGCACAATTTATACTTGCCTGTTATCAGATGGGTTAGTGAAATTCATTAAATATATGTCTGGCCACAAATTATCTGAATTATTTAAAACCAATAAATTATCTGGGACCAAGAAAGCTTTATATCACCAATGGTAATAGATAAAAAGGATACTAATTCAAAACCCCTGCTACCAAAGCAAATGTCAGAGAAAATCAAGTTAAGGTTAAAGATTCAAGGTTAAGAACAAAAAAAAGCCAAGCATCCCATTTCTAATTTCAGAGAATTATTGGAGAGAAGCATGTCTACGCTAAGGCTCACTGAAAGGCACCAATTCAAGGGTCCAGCTCTACCCTCTTGAGCTTTACCAGCTCAAACCCACACCCCTATTAAGTCCTGTCAATATGAGGATGGGAGAACTTGGTGAAAGAAGTTGTTTGGGGCCATTGCAGGGCTTGTGAAAAGGAACTTTTCCTTGCCTCATGTTAGAGGAATTTCTTTCCCCATACTCAAGAATCACTTGGTAAGGTTTGAGGGTGTCAGCAACATGAAAAGACTGGTATTTCATTCCATAACTGGACATCTGCTTCACCAGAAGACATCTGTTGGGCTATTGGATGCAGCAGAAATAAGAACTGGGGAGAGATGACATAGCAAGAGACTACCAGTGATGAGTGGGGTCAGGACCGACATCCTTTGTTCCCAATTTTAGCAGGATTCAGAAAATACTCCTACACGTGCCCACATTCTAAGTATAGGCCACAGGGAGTGGAAAAGATTAAGAGCTATAATCCCTGTACGACTGACACAGCAGGTTGAGAACGGCACATCAGAGAAATGAAGCCTCACACCACCTCCTGGGAGTCTGCAGGAAGCTAAGGCCAAATCTTTTAAGACATCACCAATGACTACGAAGCTGCCCTGGGGACATTTCCTCATCAGCAAGGCATGTGAAAGCAACCATCCATGTAGAGTTCATGGACAATGAGCTAGAACAGCCATTCATGAATATCTAAGGGCGAGACTGCAACATTGCCGGGTCATAAAGGAAAGTTGTCTTCTCTTTCTCTTTATCCTGTCCCAACACCTGAGAAACGACTGCCAGAAAGAGAGAAAGGGTAGAGCTACCTGAGATCCAGGCTGCACAGCCCTCCTCATTCCAAATGAGATGGTAGTTTTGAGAGGAAAGTACTGAAGCTCAGATACTGATACCAAACCATTCAAATAACTAAAAGCAGTAGAAGATAAAGAACTAGGTCAAGACATCATGAAATGGGCAGCTATCCAGGATGAAAAGCAAATTCAACATGACATGGTACAGTTATAGAAAAATTGAACCCTTTCAAATTTACAACTCTAACAAAATATAGTTTATCAATAAATCGGGTACATATGTATTATGTATTAATCTATTACATACATAAAGGAAGCATTAAAAGATTATAAATTTTAATCTCCCCCAGTTTTTTTCCATATACTTGGTCCTTAAATTAAAATTGACCAGTGGAAGAAAAGCCGGTCTCCCAAACTCCTGCACTGATCACAGCCTTCAGTCTGACTAATCGCATAAAACTTTTCGTCCTGCTTCCAATCATGCAAGTTCTGTGCCTTTGACTCATCTTTCCATTTATGACCTCATTTAGCCCTAAGAACCAACATTTGGCACAACTTTCCTGGATATGACCTTTGAATCTCTCTTCAACTATGATTCATATTTTCCTCTAGTTCCAGAGGCACCAATCATCCTGGGCCAACATCTCACCTGATTTGGCTTGACATCTGGGCTCATAGGCTACAGTACCACTGCAGGCTGCCAAAGTTTCCATTAGGTTTGATCCAGACTAGGTCTAAGGAGCCATACCATGCCAGAACATAAAGAGGGCTCTATCACCAGAGAGACAGACTTCCTGTGGTTTTGTTCTAAGAATGTATGTTACTGTTTGATTTTCTCTCCAGTGCCCAAATATTCCTGTACCTAAGGAGTCATTGTTCAGAAGGTATCAGACAGGATTAGCTTCATTAGGACCAAGCTCTGTCCAACACTGGGAGCTCATCAGAAACATGCCCTAGTAGAAACCTCAGTTTCATAGTTAATCAGAAAAGTTATTCTGATTTATCGATGGGGACTTACAAAAAAGTACCATAAATATTAATTTTAACTAAAAGCAAATAGAAATGTAAACCTACTTATCAATCTTATATGGGCCACAACTTTTTTGTTGAGTAGGGATCTGCTAATCAGAGTTTTGCTTAGTTTTTGTTGCATAAATAATCCACTCTGCAGGTGTCAGGGCAGGGAGTACATGAGAAATTGCTCTACTTCCTTCTCAATTTTGTTATGAACCTTAAATTGCTCTAAACAATGTCTTACTTATGCAATAAATAGTTGGAATGAGACAGTATGTAGCCTTTTCGAATTGGCCTCTTTCACTTAGTAATATGCAATTAGGGTTCCTCCTTGTCTTTTCATGGCTTGATAATTTGATTTCTTTTTAGTGTTGAATAATATTCCATTTTCAGGATAATGTAATTTATTTATCCCTACACATTTTGAACATCTTAGTTCTTTGATTTCATTCATCAGAGTTTTGCAGTTTTCCTCATATAGACTCTGAACATATTTTATTAGATTTATACCTAAGTATCTCACTTTTGGGGGTTGTTAATATAGATTGTTTTTAATTTCAAATTTCACTTATTCATCACTGGTATGTAGGAAAATGACTGATTTTTGCCTATTAACCTTGTATCCTGCAAACTCACTTTAATCCCTTATTAGTTCCAGGTTTTTTTTGTCAATTCTTTTGGATGAAAATCATATCATCTGCAAACAGTTTTATTTCTTGCTTCCTAATTTGTACACCTTTGATTCCCTTTTCTTGTCTTGTGCCATTAGCTAGAACTTCCAGTGTGATGTTGAAAAGAAGCAGTGAGAGGGGATATCCTTGCCTCATATCTGATCTTAGTGGGAAAGCTTCAAATTTCTCACCAATAAGTATGATGTTAGCTGTGGATTTTTTTGTAGATATTCTTTTTCAAGTTGAAGAAGTTCCCCCCTATTCCTAGTTTACTAAGAATTTTTATCATAAATGAGCATTGGATTTTGTCACATGCTTTTTCTGCATCTGTTGATATGATCA